AATAAAAAGGGAAGGCAACCTGTCGCGCGACGTACAGCGGGCGCTGTAAACCGGGCGTAATGCACACGCATCTGACAACGCGACGGGCGCGCGACGTGCGACAGCGCCACCTGCAGCTGGCTGCCGCCGGTCCGCAGGTGTCTAGCCGGACACATGAGACTGACAGGTGTTTTGGGCAGTGTGTCCCCCTGGGTGGGTGCCTGCCCCGGCCCGGGTGGGTATCGCCTCGTTAATGAGGACGCGATATTTATTAAGGAGTAGCTCGTCTTGCCCAGGACTGCTCGGCTCGTTTCCGAGCGTACAAAACACACACACACACACGTGAGTGAGGCCGGAGGAGAGGTGAGGGGAGGTCAAACTCGGCGTGGACATTTACTGCCACTTGGAGACTGAAATAAAAGTAAGTCAGTCGTTAAAGGCGACGGGGCGCTGTACTGTCTTCATCAGAAGGACTAACTGGCTAAACACACTCACTCACACAATATACCTATATCGACTTTCACGCACGCTCTCCAAGCGGAGCCCTCGTGGCCCTAAGACGTTTCGCTATTGACGTTCTGGACTCTGCCGCTATGATTGTCACCTGTCCTGCAGGCCCGCGGTGTCCATCCCGTTCAATTCGTGCTCACCCATTGAATTTGTTTTAATATCTTCAAACCGACAGACCGAGAAAGACGTCATTGGCCACGTCCAACGGCAAAGCAATGTCGCTGACGTGAGAACACGCAGGCGTCGTTCGCCCCCTTCCCTCTCTCCCTCTCTCTTCCTTCTCCCTGTGCTCGCCCGGAGGGCCCCGCAGTCCGTTGTCGGACTGTACAAGTTTACTGCCGGGGGCCCCGGAGCTCGGTGCCCGGAGCGGACCCTGCCCGGAGCCGGCCCCAGAGCGGGCAGAGCGGGCAGGCACACTCGTGTGGTGGTGACAAGCCCCTCGGTGGGCCCAGGGGCCCCAGCCAGCCCCAGCCGGCCCCAGCCACGGCCACACAATAAAATATTGCATTTTATTCGAGCGAGGTGTTGCGCTTGGTAGCGAGCCGAGCCGAAGTCCAGCCCGGGCTCACTACTTCTTGTTCCCCCCCGTTCCCCCTCCCTCCCCCTCCCCAACAACCTGGCGGAGCGCGCTGCTTGCTCCGGAGGCCGTGGTGCTGTTGGGAATGTTTTGTTTGGAGTAATATTGTGTTGTTTTATGGCAGAAAATTTTCATTTTACGTCTCTTCTCTTGCTGCTCTCCTCCTGCGGCTGGCAGGTTGGGCCCTCCTCCTCCCCCTCCCTCCCTGCACGACGGCCGGACTGACTCGTCGCGCGGAATGTGCGGAATCCTCACTGCAATGACAGAGGATATTTATCGAGTCGCCGTGAAGCTCTGCCCTGGCCCGGTGTGTGTAGTGTACGCGGCGCAACAGGACGCGCCCGCACCGTGTCCAGTCTCGGCTCGCGTCATTGGGGACATTTTCTTGTTCGGTTATTATCGCGACCGACGGGGACCTGCTGCTCGCCCTCGTCACGGCGGTCGGTCTCAGTTGGCTGGGTGGACGCGGCGTGCCGCTGGTGCAGGCAGAAAGTCCCTGCGATGCGCCACCGACATCGCGAATCTCCGACAATGGAATGGTTTCATTTTGTTCATTGGGGATATTAAGGGAAATGTAACAGGAAGAGAAAGGCTTGCGCGTCCAAGGAGGAAAGAGGGGAGAGAGGCAGGAGGCAGCAGGCGGCCTGGCGCAAGAGGGCGCCCCGCCGCGCAGCGCCAGGATTCACTCTGCTGGGTGGCAACAATGGGTCCAGAAGGGCATTAGTCATGGTTCATTATTGGCCCCGCAGTGTAGTAGTGTGGGGCGCGGGCAGGTGAGGTGGGCGGTAGGCCTGCTGCACCCCTTTACACCGACCTAAAAAAATGTCTTCGGAGTGATTAGTTTTCCTCCCTTTTTCTGTCGACCCAACTAATCAGATTTTTGCCGGGTATTTAGTTAGTCGCCTGCCCTTACCCCTGCCACTACTTTTCCACCTGATGAATGGGCGCAGTACGGCAGTAGGCTGCGCTGGCCGGGCCGAGCAGGACTCGCGACAGTTTCTTGGCAGATGGGAATTGGTGTGCGTTCTCCTATTAACGCGCGCTGGGCGCCCCGCCGCACCCCGCCGCGCCCCGCCGCGCCCCGCCACGCGCCACAGAAGCAGATCCGTTTTAAATTCGCACTGGTGTGGCTGGTGGGGCACAGCAGCCGGGCCCGGCGCCAGCGGCCGTGCGGGGAGGGGTCCCGGGCCGGGCCCGCCCACGGCACCGATCGATATCTCGCTGGCTATCGGTGCGGCTATCGATGTATCGGTACCGGGGCGCGCCCAGGCAGGCAGCTATCGGCCATCTCATTTGTCGGTTCGCAATGCTTTTGTCGCTCCCGCGCGCGGCGCGCTGTCGTGTGACTGACGAGCTCCGTCTGCTGACTGATTCCAATGTCCGTCATAAATTCAGCAGCGAGCTCAGATAAAGCGGAAAATGAAATGCGATGGGAAGAAGAAAAAGTCGCCACGCACGGCTCCATGGTCGCTGAACGTCAATTGACGTGACGGGCGCGGCCTGCGTGCGGCCTGGCGCGGCGCTCGGTTCGGCTCGCGCGCCGGGCGTGGCGTGGCGTGTCAGGCTCGCGGTGGCGCGACACAACACGGCGGCTCTGCGCTGGACCACACCGCAATGCTGCGCGCGTCTCCTCCTTGTGTCTACTTTTTATTAATTTTTATCATTTTTCTTGTCGATTCCTTTTACTTTTTTATTATTATTGTTGTTTGACTTATTATTTTTCATGCCGCTACCCAAAGACGGCCGGCCGGCACACAATGAGCGCGCCCGCTACGGTATTGGTCTTGTTACCCATTCGGGTATGACGTCCACGACTCATAACTCGCTCTTCTCTCTGTCACTCACGCTAGGCTGCCGCCGGGCGCACGTCGCCTTTCCGCATTTATTTTCTGCCCCACTTTTTTTCGAGCGCGTGTGTGCGTAAACTTTTTTTTTCTTTCGTGATGTCCACTTGGCACGTGCTGCTCTGTTATCCTGCACTGATTTTCGACCCCCTCATTCGCTTCCTTATTACATTTTTTCCGAGCTCAGCTATGATTTTTTTTATTTGTACTGTAAGTACATTTTTCATAACTTTGCTTGTACCTAACAGCAATCCCGCCGCAGTCAATGGTCTCGAGGTGCAAAGTGCAGCTAATTCATTTAGAAACCAATTAGAATCGATCAATTAAAATGGCTCTGGTTGTTGCACATGGCGGGAGGAGCCGGTCCAGTAGCATGTGGGTGTCGTGTGTGGTGCGTCGTGCGTGTGTGCGTCCGGACCAGTGTTACGGATCATCAGTCACCGTCTTCATCCCGCTCTCTATTTCAATATAAAGCGCTGCTTCATCAATTCTTTGCTTTTCCCTCCTCTTTTCTCTCGCTCCCCCTCCCTCCCCGCCCGTCGAGAGGCTGGAGGAGCGAGGAGGACTTGCTCGGACTTGGCCCCAAAACTCGCTGCAGACTGCCGGCCGGCGCTGCTTTGCTGATTTATGTGCTGGTTTTCCGGCATAATGCTTGTCCCCCTCATGACCGTGGAGTGGCGCGGCGTGGCGCAGGATGCAGCGCGTACACGGGCCAGTCGGACAGTAGCCAGGATGGCAGCCGGGGAGATGGTGTCGAGAGGCGAGGCGAGCAGAGCGAGGCAGAGCCGGGACGAAAATGCACACGAGAGCTGCTGCAGCAGCAGCCAGCCTGGAGACGGGGGCCTTGCCTTCTATCGATGTGTTCACCTTCTCATTCGCTTACTCCCGCTCGCTCGCTCTCCCTCGCTCTCCCTCTCTCTCTCTCTGCTCTGGAGGAAATCAGTTCACTCGCTTGCAGCCGCTTGCAGCGGGTGCCTGCCCCCCGCGGGCCGCGGTAAACGACTTGTAATTGGTGGGACGGTGCGCCCCCCGCCGCGGCCTCCAGAGGAGGGGCCGGGCACGGCGCCCCCGCGACCCCCCGCGGACCAAAGGGGCACTAATCTGTGAACTATGTCCTGCTCATCATGCCCGGCTCATTTTCAGGTGATGAGGCACGACCTGCGTGAGCGCGCGCGCGCGTGTGTGTGAGTGGCTCACGTGAGCCCCATGATGTGGATTGAATGCCGCAGAGAACATACCCGTCGCAGACGACGCCCCACCCCACCTCGCTATTTGGAATGAGGTCCCTCTCACCTTATTGAGAGTGGGGGTGGGGCAGTCCAGCTCGATGGCTGTTGCGCTTTAATCACCCACACTGGACCTGTAGCAACCTCCTCCCCCCCGTCTCTCTCACTCTCCCAAATCTCCTTATCCCCTCACCAATTATACCCCTCTCTCTACTCCTCCCCCCTCCGAACCCATCCCATATCGGCGTGCATCGGCTTCAAATCGTCTGGAACCAAACAGCTTGTATACGAGCTGGACCCTGATCGTGCCGACCCGAACCACCACGCCGCCGAACCGAACGGTGACGACGGCCGTCCCTGGCGGCCAGTGCGCCGCACCGATATGTGATAGAATATAAAAGTTGTAAAAGAAATAAAAATTGAGACACCTGAAAGTGTGGACGGGGCGCGAGGCGCGACTGCGACGTCTGCAAGCGATGGCAGCGCGTGGAGGGTTGCGGTGAGGCGGGGTGGTGAGGGGCGGGTCGAGCACGCGGGGCCTCAGGCTCGTCGGTTCGACGCGGTCCTTACCGCGCCGCAGAACGAATATTAATGAGGTACTGCGGTACCTCCTCGTCCTCGTCGGTACCCGGCCCGACCCGGCCGCGACGCGTGGGACGTACCCTGAGGGACTCCGGGGGACCCGGGACGTACTCGGGACGGACCTGCTGACCCACAGGCCCCCTCATTTCCATACATTTCGGAAAAATCGAAGCCGGCGTTGCTGATGAATGAATGAGGCGACGCGACACGACGCGCCCCGCTGCCGTCTCTCTCGCACATACTGTGCCATGCTAACCCCCTCTTTGTCTCTTTTGCCCGCAGGTGAACCGACCAATGACGATGAAGAAGGAGGGCATCCAGACAAGGAACCGCAAGCTGTCGTCCAAGTCGAAAAAGAAGAAGGGCGGAGGTGGCGGCTGCCTCAGCCTGTCGGGCGTCATGTCCGAGATGATGAAGCCCCTGGACCCCAGCGGCAAGGGCGTCGGCGGCTACCCCGGCTCGTTCAACACCAACCCTCACCACCACCTGGGCGCCGCGGCGCTGCACCCCGCCGCCCACCATGCGGCCGCGGCCATGAGCCACTGGTACCACGGCTCCAACGTGCACCATCATCAGGTAAGCACGCGCAGCGCGCAGCCCTCGTCCTCATCGAGGCCTTGAAGGTGGTCGGTGGTCTAACTCGTGTGTTTTTGTGGTTTGCAGGGCTTCGTAGCGCCCGCACCGGCGCCGCACGGCGGCCTAGGGGCGGGCCACCCACACCCCGCCGCACCCTCCATGCACCACCACCACCACATGAGCTCGCTGTCCGCGCTAGGCTCGGGGTCCCTGGGGCTAGCGGCCACCTCCAACTCCATGGTAAGTGCAGCATTGAGCCTCTGTGCCATGACTCATCCCGCTCCTCTCAACTGTGGACAGTCTCTAACGTGTCTTGTGTCTCTGCAGGCGAGTTGGCGGTCCGAGTACACGTGATGAGCTTCGGGAGCTCCTCCGAGGTTCCCAACCGTACTACCCCCGCAGTGCGCGGTCCAGCCCGGCGCAGCCCGCAGTCACCCGCCATCGCAGAAATGTGCAACATGTTATCCTAGTTAAATTATTATTTGCTCGCACTTATTTATTTCTGTTCGCTGTGCGTTCCGCCAAAGTGAGGACAGTACTGAGGCGCTGTTTCAGTTTTTTTCTTTTAGAGAAAAAGTCATGTGGCTCTTATTGTTGTTAAGGGACTTGCACGCACTGCAAAGTGTCAACAAAGTGATCTATGAAGACTTGTAGAGACGAGTACAAAGCAATTTTATGAGAAACTAAAGACAAATTATAATTTAAATTATTATTTTATTTCTGAGATGTTAAGTGATGTTATTGCTATTATTATTATTGATTATTATTATTACTGCAATGATAGAATCACCTAGAAGTCATAAATGGGCCTTGTACAAACAAAACTGTGCAATTTATATTTTATGTTTCTTATCAGAGTTCAAGCATGATTGTTAAATCAAGAATCTTCTGTAAACTCATTTCTTTACAAATGAAACTGTTAAAAGTCTTCTGGATGTTGTGCGCAACCGGTGGTGTGCTATTGGGCACACCTCTTTTGATACATTCTTGACGTTACCTGTTGAAATCTGTGTGTTTCATTTCTGAAGAGTTGATGTGAGAAGAAAGTCAGTATGCTTGTTGTTGTGTGTAAGTGTGCGTGTGAAAGTGAGTGCGTGAATGAATGTGTATCCGCGTGCCGACAGTATGCGCGCGTCTTTCAGCTCGACACAGGGATTGTGATTGTTCAAAATTAGTATATAAAAATTTAATTCTGTACTAAATCTGTAATTTGTTTGTAATTTGTTTTATAGATTGATATGAACCTTCAAAGTTACCATTGTTTCGTACGTTTTCGATAAGAGGCTTTATCATTTTAAGTTGCTCCCACTGCTTAGCTTTTTACTCTAGTTCCATATTTTCATCTTTAATTTGTGCAGAGACAAATTACCTAGAGACCTTTAGTTCAAACACGTTATTGTTGTTGTACCTTTGTGGTTGTAATGTTGTAGATGCAGGCAGCGGCGCAGAGCGCAAGCCGCTAAAGTCGGGAGAGCTAATTATTTTGTGTTTGGTGTGATTCCCTTGTGATCGGTCTCACTGAATCCTATTATCTGTGATTTTGAAATCACAATCCGCGTCGTCTCACCTGATGTTAAGTGTGATATCCTGTTCAATGGGTGACCGGGGCGCCTCGCGACCGGGCGGAGCGAAGCGGTTCCTGTCCTTCCCTAGGCTCGTCCCGCCCCGAGGCGTGTCCCGGTCAAATCCAAGCCTCAGATCTCTGATTGTAAACTGTTTACTTGTTAGCCTCGTGAAAATGGCTGTCGAGCAGCGCGCGTGTGAGGCGAAGCGAAGCGGGGCGTTGGCTGGCTATAGGCCCCTCGCCAATTTGTTTTCCAAAATTGTATTGCAAACCATCTGATGTGGAACACTTTGATTGTAGCTCTTCTAGCTGAGAGGGGAGTTAAGAGGGACTGCCGTGCGCGGGATGCTTTCTCTTTGCTCGGCGCCATCGAACCTATAATTTATTTGTTGTTACATTTTTATTGTCTCTTGGCAAAGGGGAAGGGCATAAGTGTCCCGATCAGATTTGGCGATGTACAGCGGCCAGTGTCGCATCGCACGGCCTATGGTCTGGCCACCCCGCTCTAAACTAAGCATACCAAAGTTTGTATTTATTTAAGCGGCGGTTCCGCTCGCCCGGGCCGCCGGTCACAGAGTTATATTATACCGTTTCCTCGCCTCGGGGGAACACCACAGATACTATTGTGATGTGTGAAATAATGTATTTTTAATTAAAAATGGGGCAAAACAAAAATTTTACTAGTGATAAAGATTATTGAATGATTGTATGAAATGTATTATATTATCGTTAAGGTGAAAAGCTTAAAGAGTACGAAATGTGTTATTGTGTTATGTCGACAAATACTCAATTTTCACAAATTTGGGGAACATGATTGTGTATATATGTTATATATTTTCCTTGTTTGTAAGTCACAAAAGCAAGACATTAATGTTATTTAAAGAAGAGACCTTTTATTAGGACGATTTGCTGTCGTATCGATCTACTCCACCCTCTTCATGTTTTAAATCCCTGTATACTCAGCATGCAAAAGTCCAACTCCATCTTGTCAATCGTATCGTGTTTTTGTTTTAAAAAGGGGCCGTCATGTAACATTGTGTAGAATAATGTGTGTGTAAAGTTGCATAAATCAATGACAAACGACAACGTCTTCTCTCTTAAACAAATCCCATCTCTCAGAAATCAGCAGCATGCGACTAAATCACGCCACCCAAAACCATCATTATCATGTGCGTGTTTTTGATTTTTTGCATGACAGTCTAAACCACTGACTGTCTGCCGACTCTGCATATTCACGAGTGTTCCCATTGTGGCCTCAGCTAATGGCGACCTCAGGACAGGAGTGGAGCAAATAGTAGATCAGTCCATGCAGCGGGGTGCCAGGGAACCTCAGAGGGGGGTGCGTAGACTCGGGGTCAGAAGGGTTTGGCCCTAACGCCTGAATAGGGCCCAGCGCGGCCCGGCCGTACCCCGCTCTGCCCGCCCGCCCGATAATAGACGACTTTGGAAACAGATTGGGCTTCAGTGACGCGTACTTTTCTTGGCGTGTCATCGTGACCATTTTAAGAGAGCGACTGAGGCTGTTCTCTAACATGAGAATATTATTAGTATAACAAGTCAAGACAAATCTCTCGAGGGCAGAGATGTTCGACGTAAAATTGAACATTTTTCGCAACACAGTGGAACTAGTTCTACGTTTAGAAACCGCAGAAAAAGTAAAGTCAAGAGTCACGTACAAAAATTTGAAAGTAGTCAACTTGGGCAAAACATATTATATGACACTGTTCACCAAGAAGACCGGAAGGACACAAAAGGAGAGGAAGCTACCCTACACAATTTTGATCGAGGCCTGCGGGTCCCTCTGGACGCTAACTCACAAAACTGATTGGAATTAAAATAAATGTTGAACATAATTTTTGTTCTTATAATACTAATTTGACAAATGCATACCCTGAAGTAGGTCCATGCAGGCCGCAGGCCCAGCTACCGAAACATATTTTTTTCCGTGCGGTGTGCCAGGCAGGCAGTACCCTCGGCAGCCCCACCGGGTAGCCTGCCGCTGCCGGCTCACTATTACTAATGTTACTAATGATCCTGGCGGCTCGGTGCGCGCTGCTGCGCGGTCGCTGGGGGGTCCTTGTGGCAGCGCCGGTAGGGGGCACCACGGCCGCCGCCTTGGACGCCGCGCCCTCGTGAAGCCTCTCTCGCGCGGCCTCGCGGGGCGTCGCGAGGGACTCCCGCACTCCGTAAGCTACACCGCTAACCTCCTGACTCCGGCTTGACGGATGAGGTGTGGGAGGCGGCGGCGGTGGCGGGGGCAATACTGGGGCCTTATTAATAACATGAGAGACACGCAGCGCGGGACGAAATGCAGCCGGCTGCTGCTGCTGCTGCTAGCGGCCGGACAGAGCAGTGTAAGGCGCCCAGTCAGACGGAAAGCGCAAGTCGCCGGACCAAAAGCCGAGGCCGGCAAAGCCACGCAATAGAAAAGGCTTATAGGGAGGGATGAGCCTCGGCAGCCGAACGCCAAATAGGTGGAGTGGAGGGACATCACAGGACAGCACACTTTGTCCAGAGAGGGGAGGGGGCGGGCCGGGGCGGGCGGCTGCCTGTTCCGCTCCACTGGCCGCGCTGGTCCAACAGGATCGCCTGATCCCATATCGGTGACTGCTTCCGATGTCGCCTGTTCCGTTGAATCAATCGGTCTGCCGGGCCGCCAGCCCCGGGATGACGCGGACGACACCCTCCTCCGTCACCTTTGTGCGCGTCTGTGTGTGCACTTCTGCTGCCGTGCTCGGCGAGAGGGAGAAATCGGATGAATTTTGAGATTACCATTTTAGACCCGCGCGGAGAAAAGAGGGGGGGAGGGAGAGAGTATGGTATACCATTTGCAATCTCAAGCACCGAGAGATGAATGTGTGCTCTCCCCAAACGAACTGCTTCCTCATTGAGGTAGGGCTACGCTGCCCTGCCCAGTGAGGCGACCCGGCGGGATCCGCATGGAATGCGCAGAATCGCCCGGCCAAAACGGACGTCCGGGTAAAGCAGAGCCACACATAGTGGGCGATGTAATCGTGCTGGCGTCGCAAAGTCTTGACCCCGCGGCGGCGGGGCGTGGCGTTACGGGGCGGAGGCGTCGGGCTCGGCCCGACAAGTGGCCCGGAAAATGGAATTTCCAGGCGACAGCACGACGACACGGGGGAGGGGGGCGCAGAGGGCGCGGCGCGCTGCATCGGCGTCGTCGGGGTCGCGGCGGCGCGGCGGTCGGTCCCCCGCTGCTGCTGGAGGATGAACTTGCCGTTGCTTTTACCCTGCTGCGGTGCCTAATTTTTTGTCCTGCTACCCGGCAGATCTGTGTCCGCTTTGTCGCTCCGCCCGCCCCGCCCGCGGCGTCTCGCGGAAAGCGCGCCGTGACGGCTGCCGAATCGTTTCGAGCATCTCCTCCTGACGATGTTTCTTTTTGCCACTCCGATTTCAAGTCGGGCCTAATCGAGCTGCGGCACACTGCACTGAGTGCCCCGATCGTCCGGCAAAATATAACTGCGTACCGTCAGCAGCGGTTGCCCGGGAATTAACAAAGATGGGCTCTTTGACTACGACGAACTGTTATTTATATTATGTGCGCACCGTTGGAATCTCAAAAGAAATTGTCTCTTATCAAATTTTGAGGTCCATTGCATACGTGTGCAATTCGCCTCAGCAAAAATAACGGTGTTTTTAAACCCTATTTGAATCGAACAATAGTTTTTTTTATAGATTAACTGCAGTTTACTAGGTTCTTGCTCCTCGGTTCAACTCTATAGTTTTAACTGACGGTGAAGTACAGATTTTTCAACCCAGGACCTCTTTAAGTTTTGGAGACAAATCAGTGACAAAAAGCAGATGTTTAAAGTCTTTAAAGAGTTGAAGCTCTAGATAGGTGGGACAGAGAGGCATTTTTACAATAAATGTCTTAGAAGTGAATTCTTTGGAGGTAGGCCTATATTTACAACTAATATCTTAGAGGTGAAATACTTCGCCTCTTCCGTACAGAGAAATGTATAGATTTTGAGTGCCTCGAGCCGAGGATACTGTAAAGACACATTTAAGATGCTGTGGAGAATTTCTAGAGACTGTATGCAGACACTTTATGAGCCCCAATCTATACGCTGACAAGACGGCGGGGAGACAATTAAAAGAAATTCAAGAGATGCATCGAGGTGGTCTCGAGAATGTCTCGTTTTAGAGACGTTGCTGAGATCGGTCCTACATGCCACCGAAGTGAGCCTGATCACAAGTCACAAGGCATGCAGGCGGCAGAGCCAGGGGCAGAACCAGAGGCAAAGCCAGGGGCAAAGCTAGGGGCAGAGCCGTGGTCAAAGCCGCGGTCAGTGCCGCGGACAGTACGGGGCCAGGGGTAGAGCCGAGCAGTCAATTACTATGGATACAAGCGTACACCACTTTTTCTGTTTTTCCTTATTTTTTCTGATTGCTTATTTAAGTGTTTGTTCTGATTTTATTCTGACTACCTTTTGAGTTTTATTACTGATTTTTTCCTGAAATTTATAATGATTTTAAACTACTTTTCATGTTTTTCTTGACTTTTCCATAATATTTTATGATTTTTTGAATGATTCTTTAGGGAGGGTGTACACTGTAAGTAAAAGACCCTCGGGCAGAACCGGGCAGGCCGCAAAGCCGCGCGCAGAGCTGCGTGCAGAGCCAAAAGGGCTGAGCCGGGAGCAGAGCCGGGGGCAGAGCCAATGGCAGGGCCGGTGGCAGAGCACGTCCACACGCCTTGTGCCAATTTTTTAAAGATTATTGTAAATTACAATAAACCAATAAACAAATTTAAGTTGACATAAAATTGACGTCAAAATTGACGTTTGTTTTGGCAGAAATAGTTTTCCTTTCAGTGACGAGACATCCTAAATATATATTTTCTCTGTACGAGTTTATAGAGGGAGGTACTTCTCACAGCTGCTGTTCGTCACTGATTTACCTCTAAATCGTTAGAGGTAAAAACAACACAATTACTTCGGTATGAGCAAATTTCTATGAGGTAGAGGTTTAAATTGGAGAAAAACCTTCCTTCCCGGTCACTGGAGCAATAAGCTTCGCCATCGTTCATAGCCAACACACAATGACAGTCTCTATATTGGTTATTGGGGATAGTCAATCTCTACTTTGCGAGAAGCAATATTTCTACCAAGCCCCATTCCCGCAGTACAAATGCCATCGAGTACTTGGCGGTGGTAAGGTTCGTCTGACTGATTAATTGAGGGGGAATGACTCTGCGTGGCGGGGCCATGCTCCGGTACGTACAGGTCAGCACGCGCGACGGTCGGCGCGCGGTCACCGCCTGCCTGTAAGTCCATCCTTGGTTGTGGCTACACGACTCCGACCACTGGTTTCGCGACTAAAGAACTTGGCTTGACTTGACTAACCACGAGGCCTCTTTTGGCGAACGCCTGGCCCTAAATCGAAAGCAAGTATTCCAGTGTATTCTGGATGTGTGGCTACATGTTAGAGTAGGCAAGAGAGTATACATTCAACGGTTTTTGGCCACAGCCACAATTTTGCGCAGCCATAAGCTATGACCGAGAGTCTTTGCGTCTTCAAAAGCACAGCGCCCTGCCTGCTGTAGCTGCGGCAAAAGCGAGGCGAGGTCCCTGACAGCGCCAGAACAATGCGGACTGGAATTCTGAACCCGGGCTGGCGTCGGCTAACGCACGCAGACCCCTCCTGACCTCGAGCCGACCCCTGCGCCTCGACGATCGGGCCTTACTTGCACACGGCGCATCGGGCGGAAGGCGAAGGCTGCTGTGAGCATAACGCCAGGAGAGGGAATGAGGAGAATCGGCTGCAAGGCACCGCGCAACGGGCGCAGGCTGCGATGCCAGCGACCGGGTTGCCTACCCGGCCAAACCTTTGCCAAAACGCCCCTCACCGCCCCATGATGGTGTTGTGCTCTCATTTCGAGCGTTCTATCACGCGTGTTTCTTCTCCAGCCACACTCCTCCACTACTGTGTGAGAGCTCCGCCAGCGGCCGGTGAGTCAGACACCTACGGCGCCCGGCCGTCTCCCACGCCCCCCTTATAAATCCAGTGCGCGCCAAACCCTTTGACTGGGAAATAACCCGTTTGATCCCTCCTCGCGCCGTCCA